GCCGATCAGCTGTTTGTCGGCAGATCGGGGCAGTCTGGACGCGACGCGCCGACAAAGAAGCCTTTCTTCATCGGCACAGGTAAGCCTCGTGAAACCAGGTTTACCTGTGCCGATGAAGAAAGGCTTCTTTGTCGGCGCGTCGCGTCCAGACTGCCCCGATCTGCCGACAAACAGCTGATCGGCAGATCGGGGCAGCCATTTAAATTTAAATGAAGCCGCGATTATTTTAATCGCGGCTTCATTTCCCCCTTCCGATCTGGCTAATCTACATGCCTCCGTCGAAGGAGGCATGTAGTCTAGACACACCCCTAGACAGGTGAGGGGGTTTTTCCACAGTGACCTGCTTTGTTACATGATGGAATGATTTGTGAACATTCTGAGGGTTGCATGTACATGCATACTCAGTGTCAGCTGTAAGCAGCTGAAATAAAACTTTTTTGTTAATTACAGAAACTGGAGCTATCCATGAGCTTTAATAATGCTTTCCTTTTGTAGGCTATTATTATTAAGTTTTTGAAAACATAATATTTAAGACTACTCTTTGTTTTTTAAAAGAAAAATATAAATGGATGGGGGGTTGTGCCCTAGGTTATTTTGAGGGGTAGGCTGTCCCCATTTCCTCTATCTTTTTTTGTCTAGTACCTCCTTTTCCTATGATCTGTTCCTTACTACTTTTCCCAATCTCATCTTTCCCTCCTATTTTCTTCCCTTCCATATACTCTTCTTGGCCTCCCCATTTTTCTTTAAAAAGCAGCTCTTTAACTCAACACCTTATAACCACTGTATCCAAAACCAGTAGGCGGATAAGGAAGAGGAGAGGAGGAGAAGCAAGAAGCAGCTCCACTTTTCTGCCAGTTTGTAACTAACACTATGACAAATTAATGCTCCTGCTTATAATGCACAAATGCATTTTCCTGGAATGTCCAGTGCTTTTACCTTGGTTAGATCCCATCTATGCTAAATCTTTTAACCTTGTTGTAAATGTGTCCCACGCTTGGTTATATCCAAAAAGTAAACAGGGCCTAAAGTTTCTTCTAAATTATCCCCACCCCACAACTAAAGCAAATTCCATTTTATAGCATATGTGGGAACATAACCACACCCCTAAAATGTCCTGAAGTCAAAGGTGCCAGCTATGCTACATAAATCTGTTTGACAATTGCAGTTAAATTGTTAGCATATTGACTGTATTTTCCAACATACTTTGGAGCTTGGCCTGTGAACATTGGATTGAACCAGAATCAGGCTAAAATTATTCTATCTAAAGAACCTAGCCTATTTCCCCAGCACATTTTTTGAATCTGGCTAGAACATAGCCCTCACAGTTCAGCCTAGTCTAGTAGGATTTGGGCTGAGATGCAGTCAGAGCTTAACAACCATTGTCAAACTAGTGTGTTTTTTCAAGGACCTCTGGATAGTCCCCCTTGTGGGAGTTGGCCTGACCTACCTTGAAAAGCTATGCACTCTTATTGAGAGGAGGAGGATGGTATCACCATTTCACAGAAACACTTATGGAACCCCCAATGGACATTGCTTTTCAAGGTAATTCTGCAGCTCAGCAATAAGTTATGCCAAATCTCACAAGTTGTGAATACACAGAGGCAATTATCAGGGAACAATTACTGGTAAGTAATCTTTCTCTACAGAGGAGATAAGGTTCTAAATATGTGAAATACTGCTAATTATTCTGCAAAGGCTTTCTATCTCAAAAAGGGGAAAATTTCCCTTCCTCTTAACTTTTAGTGGGAGTTGGGTGTCTAACTGTCCGGTGTGCCTCTAAAAATCTGCTTAGTGGTACTCTGGAGCACTCAATTTCTTTACTCTTCAAACTTGTAACTAAACCACTTCTAGCTCATGCTTTGAGGGTGGACAATATTGTTATGTTTATTTCCTAGTAGGCCTGTTGTAAACTATGCTCCTCTTCTTTTGCAGATTCAATAGATGTTTTTAACTGCAGTCTGGAACCACAACCATCTTTAACAAATCTTCTGCTGATAGTAAGTTGAACCCTCCCAAATTCAGTAATGAGAAGGAAGACTAAAAAAATTAGGAAACTGATATAAAAATCATCAGACTTTCAACTGAAAATGCAAATGCACATCAGTGCATTGCAGGAGAGAGAATTTTGAGAAGGGAGGAATGGGGAGCTCTTCCTTGTTAGGATTCGACAAGAGGATTCTATTCTATTCTTTATTCTTCTGTCTCCCAACATCCTCCTCTGTTTCTTTTGAAATGAGCATTTCTATGGGAAGGAGAGATGTAATTGGTTATCGTGTAGCTCCTCACTTCATAACACCATGTCTGTTTGCTTACCACTGTAACACACCTAGTGTACAAGAACTCTTCTGTGATTTGTTATTTCACATGCTTTTCCTAAACTGAGATGGATTTGGAGAAGAAGGTCTCAAATTGTTGGCTAGGAAACTGTCACTACAGTGTTCCAATAAAGATGCAAGTTACACCCAGTTATCTCTGGCTATGGACTCATGTTTAACAATGTTTTTAAACACTTTTTTGCTGCAATTATTTCTGAAGTGTCATACAACACTGTTAGACCAAACATTGTTAAGCCAGTCTTCATTAAAAATGTTCATACAAAAATGGATTTCTGTCCACACAAATAAGCCTCGCAAAGTTAAACTAGTTTTGCTGCAATCTGGTTTGATCTATGTTTAAATGTATTTTTTAAAAATGTTTCTGAAGCCAGTGAAGATGTGGACTCACACGAAATCTAGAAACTGGGTATAGTATCTATAATTGTTTTCTCATTCCTGGGATTCTGAGGTCTAGAGAAGATTTTTGGGAAAAATGTGATCTTGTAGTTAAGGCAGAGGACAAGGAATCAGAAGATCTAAATTCTGTTTGAACTTCTGCCACATGATGGTTAACCTTTCTGTGCTTCTATTTCTAAATCTGTAAAATCTAACTCTTGTAAATGGTCAGGGTTTGATCACTGATGTTTTTAAATGGGGGATGCTAGATGAGTTCAGGATTGCTAAACTTGTACTTTTTTTTAAAGTGGTTTTTGAATACTTCTAACAGCGTAGGAGATAGTCTGAGACAACAAGTTATGCCATGAAGAAAGTACACTATCATCTTCTAGCACAGTAAACCAGTTGGGATTTTACTAAACTTCAATTCTGTTACTTAAATTACAGTGTTTTGTTACTTAAAATATTTTCCACATTTTGCAGTTGTTCTAGAGGTAAAAACCTTCAGTATAAAATCCATCAGTAGTAATGATCTATTTTCAAATGAGGCTTTAACCCAAAATAAGGCTGTACATTCACTTTAGCTTTCAGTGTGAGATCGTTTTAGCTCTAATTTGTTAGTTTGATGTCTCCATTTATCATGATTTTTACTGGTAATATTTAAAGTGTCAGATGAGGTCATGACTTTCAGAACTTTTAAATTGGCCAACTGTATATATCATCTCTCCCACTGAATGAGTGATCGTGGAAGAACTTCTTGGGGAAACAGCTGCATCCAGTACACACAGCTCCTGAGGTTAAAATGAATAACATTCTTGATGACTTGGTGGAAGACTAAATGTTGCAATTGATAGTAGATAGTTACAGATATTGGTGAGAGTCTGCATTGCCACTGACACTGAGAGCACCATGGTAATTACTCTGATACATGAAGACTTTTATGGTAGCTGAGAACTTGCCTCTGCCACAAAATTCTTCTATCTTTCCAGGATACTTGGCCTTGGAGACTGTATCTTACATCTTGCAAAGTTTAGACTGAATTATTATGAAAAATGGAATTTTGAACATATTTTTTAAAGTGTTTTCAATTTTGCAGTTTGATATGAAAGACAGCTGGTCCTGGTTACTACTTTTTTAACTTCTTCCTATAGATATGATGTCTTAGTACAATTGACTTTAGTAATAAACCATTTCCTTTATAATCAATATTGTAATAAGGTTCTACTATATTTTATTCATGGCTTTTGTGTGATTTGTATTAAGCTTATGTATACTGTAGTCTTTTTCTCTGGTACTGTGTATATTTGGTCAAATACCTTAATCTTATGTGGAGTGGAATAATACTCATTGTTAGAACACAGCATTAAACTTTCTGGAATCATCATATAAAGACACTAATCAACAAAAGTTAAATATATTTTACACTTAAACATAGTATTGCACTGAATAGGACTACACAAATATTTTGTAAAGATTGTTTTGCTTTTGTTCAGAAATGGAAATAAACACATGTCTTTAAAATAGGTTAATATGTAGGCATGTGCCAAAACATCTTTCTTCCCCTATCTTCTTCTAGTCAAAATACAAATATCAGAGAATGCAATTTATAGGACTTTTAAAGTTAATGGGAGTTTTGCCCATTATACATAATTGTAGGATTATACATAATTGTAAAAAAATTTTGGTGTTTAAATTCTCTGGATTGTATCTGGTTTCTATCTGAGTATTTACATTGGGGAACAGTGTACCTTCCTGATCATATATAAATAATTCAGTATGTTTTTTTCTCTTTTTATGAGATCATTAAAGGGAAGACTCTTTTTAAAATGTGTTGGCAACTTTATTTTCTACACTTGATAGACAATGAATGGCAATGGTTAATTTCTTGTGTTGGTGCCACTATATTACAGGCACATAGTGGGTAAGATAAGTTTATAATTATTGATACAACTTCTGTATGTGAAAGAGACAATTTGTTAGCTACATAAAGCTCTTCAGGCATTTGTCAGTAGTGAGGAACAAGGATGAGGGAGTAGGAGTGTTTAAAATTAGCTAGTGGCATGATTCAATTACTTATTCTGCCAGAAGCAGGTGGGAGCAACTGTATGTGCACTTTCAGGTCCCAAATCCTGATACCTGTCTACAGTTAAGCAGCCATGCATAAATCCATTAAGAGGGGGAAACAGGACATTCTAATAAACTGTCCTAATTAGTTTCAGAAAACTAGGACGTTAGTACTAAAATATCTTCCTCTGCCACATTCAAAAATTCCATTTATGCAGCACAGAATGTCTTTATTTTTAAAACTTTTAATAAGTACTAAACCAAAACATTTTTTTATCCAACAGTATTAAATTCCATTTTATAGTGTTACTAATGAGGATATACAGGTCCTTTTGAAGTCTAAGAAAAAAGGGCAACATGGGCTTCAAATATGCCTTCTTTCTTGTAACCTTTGAAGCTTTTTCTACCCCTCTTCAAAGGAGGGAGAAGTAGGGTTGCCAGGTGTCCGGTTTTCGCCCGGACTGTCCGTTATTCAGGTTTCCCGTCTGGTTAAAAAAAACAGAAAATACCGGATATGTGACATGTCCAGGATTTCCTGTTTCCCTCGGATGGAAGCCCGTCAGAGACAATTTTTTTGGGGGGGGTGGGGAGAGAGGGGGAGTTTTGGTATTTTTTGTTAAAACATCTGGCAACTCTAGCAGCTGCAAGGCCTGAAGCTACTGGGGCTGCGAGGGGCAGCCATGGTAGGCAGGGGCAGCAGGTCCACACCCCATTGCCAGTGATGAGTGGCCATTAGACTGCAGTTTGCCCCTGAGGCAGGGGCTAGATGAAGACTGACAGTCACTGAGGAAAGGTAGGTACAGGGGTAGGGTTGCCAGGTGTCCGGAATTAAACCGGACAGCCCATATTTGGGCCTTCTGTCTGATAAAAAAATTCAGAAATGTGAAATGTCTAGTATTTTCTGGTTTTTCCTGGCTTGGGCATCTGCCAGACCATGCACAGCTTGGGCTGGCTGGGGCGGGTGGACGATGGAGCATCCTGGGAAGGGCTTAATGTAAAAGAATGCAGTGTACCAGGATCTTGGAGAACAGACTTCAACATGGCCACCTTAAAAGGGCAATGCCTGCTCTGCTCTTAAAAGGGTAAACTGGGTTTGGGGATTTTTTTCGTCAGCTACTGTAAACTTTTCCCCTTTTTGTTCAATTTTTTTCCCCCTGGGGGTACCAGCACTTTTTTTTTTTTTACACTGGTCCCAGGAATTAAAGGGGCTGCGACTGTTTTTCAGCCCTGGTCAATTCCTTTTTTTTTTTCTCAAGTTTTGCTGCTGTGGTTTGTTGTTTGTTTGTTTTGGGGGCGGGGGAGAATGTTCGGTATTATTTGTTAAACCATCCGACAACCCTAGGGAGAAGCTAAGAGCAGTTTTCTTGCTGGTCAGAACTAGAAAGTTTTCAGTACACAAACCAATCAGAAAAGAGGAATTATAGTTGCCAAATTGTTTTGTCGACTTTTGGGTGTTGATATAAGTTTTGTTGGTAGTGTACTCATACCTAATAATATGAAACAGAGGGTTTATCCTTGGTTGTGTGCTATTGAGTAAATTAGTTGCAATAAAGTTAGAACAAGCATCCAAGTACAATAATAATTGCACTGGGACACTAGTGGGCTAATTTATTCAAAAGTAAGAACCACAATCAAATTCTCAATGATTATATGAATTTGCACACTGAATAACAATAATTAGCCAGAGCACTATTTGGATTATGTGAACATTCAAAATAATTTGCATGTTCTCAGAATTATTCAATCCGAGCTAGAACCAGACCGCAGGATACTGTGATGGAATGATTTCATGTGTAATTAGTATGCCATTAAACAAATCTAAATTTTTATATTGCTTACTGGAGCTGTAATTAACAAAAAATGCACACAACCAGGACAAACCCTCCATAGTCTCAGGTACATCTATGCCACCAAGTGTTGTCACGAAAACTTAAATCAACACACAAAAGTCAAGAAAACAAATTTCCAGAGGGTGTTCACATTTACTCCCTCTATCTACAGATAATGACCACAGTGGGGGCATGTGAATATCATCGACAGTGTGAGCAATGCACTGTGGGTATGTATCTCACAGTGCAGTGTTGGGGGAAGGCAAAGCTGATCACTGTGTATCTTGGGATTCCCTCAGAATTCTTCCACCACCACATCAGCTGCTGGGAGTGGCATCATTATTAGCTCTGTGAGCGCTCTATGCTGAGGAATGTCAAAGCAGCAGAGCAGCCTGCACCCTTCTCCCTCTGTAACAGCAGTCTGCCTGCAGCTATATTCCTAGTGCAGGGCAGAACTCAAGCAGATGAACTGAGGAAATTCAGCCTAAGGCTTTGTCTTTTGTGGGGGGAGGGGCGAGGGAGGGAAGGAGGGAGGACAGAGATGATGCCACTGCCCCTTCTTTTAGATTAAATCCATGTTTCTGGAAAGCTACTGGCCTTGGCATGACCTGATGGGCCTTGCTAAATCACAGAATTGAGCAATCCCCTTTGTGAAGTGTTTTCGCAATTGAGTCATAATTGAGAGCAATTCTCATGTGGTGCTTATGCAACTAATTCTCCCTGAATTGTAGATCCTATGCCTGGGGTATTCTGCACCAAAACAATTAAAATTCTGCACACTATTTTAAAAATTGGCAATATTCCATATATTTTGTTACAATGCAGTATTATAACACTAGTTTCAATTATTTTGGTAATTTTATTTAAACTACAAGCAGGGGTCTCAAACTCCTGGCCCACAGGTCATCCCCAACTGGAATGATTGTGCATTCTGGCCTGGGATTTATGCCAGGTTAGGACGGTTGTCTGTTACCAATCCCTCAGTTCTGCCCCTTTCCATAATTACCTTTCCCTCTCCCCCACCCATAGTACCCTGTTCCCAAAGATGCAGCTTTAGGAATTGCTGCTGGGAGTGGGCGGGGAGAGGGGGCGGGCTGGTACCACATGGTAGCAGGAGCCATGATGGAAGCAGAGTGCAATGAAAGCGCATTTGCTCCACTTCTCCACAGTGGCAAGGGGGGTGGGACTGCTGCTGTGTGGTGCTAGTCCCTTCTCCCCCCATCCGCAAAAGCCATGTCCTTGGAGATGGGGCGCTGTGGGAGAGAGGGTGGGAAGGGGCAAAGCTTGGGAACTGGTAATGGAGAGGCCCCCTCCTATGCTCCACTGGGAGTTTCAAGCTAGATTGTGCAGTTGTTCTGGCCAGAGATGGCCCATGGGTTGGGTGTTTGAGATCCCTAACCTAGAGTATAATGGATGGAGAATGGGAGTGAGGAGAATTGGAGGCAATCTCCAAACCCCTTCTGCCTAAAGGTATTGTAACTAGTATTACCCTTTATATTAGTCTAATAACTAGATGTATACAGCCATATGTTCAGTGTTACATCATAAGCAATCGAAGAGCAAGCAGGGGCTGGGAGTACAAACTTGCAACTTATGCTGGCTATTGACCATTGCCAGAAATGATCGCGGCAAACAGTTAACGGAGCACATTTTGATAGGAAGCTTCATTCCAAAAATGTAGACCAGTTCTAATCACTAAAGCACCTTTACAATAAGGTTACTTCACAGCACTCTGGCTCTGTAAAGAAGCCTTCAAATGTTTACACCTGTTTTGTACTCCTGGGGGGAAGTCACTAAGCGAGCAGGCTGCTACATTCTGCTCTGCTTGAAGGAACAGAGCCTGCCCCACACCTATTTCCTTAAAAACACATCTCTCATATACACATGTGCCAATACAGACCGCTGGTGATTACTGGGAACCAAAACCAACTTGTCTGCACTGCTGGGGAAGAGCACATGATTGCTCTGTGGCTTCCCTTTGCTCTCCATCAGAAGTAATTTTTTTTGCAGAGAAGTAAAAAAATCTGCAGTGGCCATGAATTCTGCACATAAGCAGTTATGCACAATTCCCCCAAGAGTAAGATTTACAATTCCCTTGCTGATCAATTATTGTTCACCCACACCCAGGAGGGCACTAATCTCCTTTGTTTTCACTGGAGAACAATGGGTAACTTTCAAATTCACAGCATATTTCAATAACACTAATAAAAAAATCTCATAACTTCACACATGCTAATGATATACATCTTTTGACAGAACATTTCAGCAGATCCTGATTTTCATATGGTATCATGTCATGCTTTGTATGAAATTTCACAACCATGTATGATGAACATGGGAGTTACAAAATGCTACTTTGAAGATCACTGTGTCACATTCACCATTCATTTTTCTGCTTAAATTCTTCCTTCATTTTATTTGGCTCATGGCCAATTTTACAATGTTGAAAATGGTTATTACATATTTATTATCAAATTAATGTTTAGGTCTGTGATCAATTCCTCTTTCTCTGTCAGATTCTAACACAGAATTTCCCCGGGATACAACACTTTTTAAATTAGAAAATTGACATCTATACTATGTAGACATCCTAAGGATGTTTAAGTACATAGGACTAACATAGGACCTCCAGCATAACTTACTCAGATAAGTTTCCTATGACTTAAGCGGCCAGTCATCCTGCTCCTGAGTGTGATTTCATGATCTATATGAGCTGCCAAGTAATACCTAAAGCCCAGTTGTGAAATACCACAAAACATGAAAAAAGTACAAAATGACACAAAACTGATCCCCCCCCCCCCCGTTAGCTCCTCTCCTACAACATTGGCTGGGCTGTGCCTTGCTCCAGATATTACACCCTTGTTCCAAGCACATAAGGTCATAGCACTGCACAGGTCTGGCCCAACCTCTTAAAGGGGAGGGTGGTGGCAAGGC